GCTGCAGCCCAGGGGCGGCGGCATCTTCCCTGCGCCTTGGCCCAGAGCGAGGGGCCTGTACGCGACGCCCCCCACCTCCCGTTTTGCCGTGGGGCAGGCGAGGCCGGCGCGAGTGGCGCTCTCCGGGGGGCCGCTCCCCCCGCAGGGCGGATCGGGGCCCGGCGCAAGCCGCGCGGCGCACGCGGGCCTGGCCGGGCGACGCGGTGCAATGCAGCGCAATGCGGCGAGGTCGCCCCGCCGCTCGTATGGCTGTCCAGGAGCGGGCACCGCATTCCTGCGCGGCCCGCAAGGCGGGGGGCGGCCGGGGTGGGCGCCGGTGTGGCCCCAGCGAGGGGCTTCTCCCGCTGCAGCGGGCGCAACCCTGCCGGGGAAGGCCGAGCTGCCGGTGCATTTGCAGCTCGCTCTGCGCGCAGCTTCCCCGTGCTTTGAATTCGGGTTTCTTTGGGGGGAGCGTGGCACTCCGGAGCGCCGGAGCCAGGGTGAAGGCTATCCAAGCGCAGCCGGCCCATCCTGGCCCCCGCTGGCTGCGGGACTGTGGGTACTGTAGTCCAGCGCGTCCAGGCAGGGCCAGGATGGGGAAGGCCGTGCTGGCAAAAACGGTGCAAGAGAGGGAAAGGTCTGGGTTGGGGGCGGCTTCGGGCTTCTCCAGAATGGCCGGGAGGGGGCCCCCCGGGTGGTCGCGGGGGCAGCGGAGCAGAGAAGCCCCCCCCCCGCCGCATTTGCTTGCTTTCTGTCGATCCTCCTCGGCCTACTCCAGCTCCGGGGATTTTCAGGGGGCAGAAGGCGCAGGGCGTCGAGCTGGGTGCCAGCAGCCCAGGATCCAGGCAGGCTCCGGGCCGCTTCTTGCAGGAGCGTAGCTGGATTCCTTGGGGCGGCGGTGGGGGGTGGGGGGGCAGCAGCCCCCGGGGGCCGGATGGGTGGGCTCTCCTCTCCCCTGCGCACGCCAGTCTGGCCTGGTGAGTTGCGGGATGCGCAGAAGCTGCAGCCCGCGACCCCCTCGCACCGCCCTCTGCCTGTCCCACTCTCTTTTGCAGCCGTTATCGGGCCTGGGTCCTAATCGCAGGAGGGGGGGCAGGGGCTGGTATGCAGGACTGCTGCATCAGCTGTTTGAGGCGTTCCTTCTGCTCTTTCGGTGTGCGGCGGAGCGGTGTATTTTGAGTAAATCTTTGGTCAAAGGTCCTGTTTTTCTCAGCCTTTTTCTTTTCTTTTTTAGGATGGAGTGGGGTGGGGGAGAGCTGATGCCGCGTTCCTGGGGCAGAGGGAGGTTGGGTGTCCATTTCTCTCAGGCACGTCGAGTGTGCGAGTGTGCGACGCTGCTGGGTCAGCGTGAGCACTGGGTGTGCTCTACGTGCGCATGTGTGTCTGACTTTGCCAAGTCTCCGATTTGCGGTTGGGAATAGTTGTCAAGTTAGAAGGTTTGGGTTCGCCGGAGAGCGTGAAGGCCGCCTTTTCTTTCTACGGTCGATATTTCTTAATGTGCTTCCCGTTGACGTTCTGAACAGCAAAATAAAATGGACTTTATTTTTAGTGCTTTACCAGCACTAGATTGAAGGCCGGTGGTGTGGCAGCCCATCCCCATGGAAGAAAAATGGATGCGCGAGCTCTCAAATAATGACTTTTTTGGAGGTGTGCGGGAGGTAATGTCGGTGGAGCAGTGCTGAATGCCTAGGTGGTATCTTGATGGTCTTTAAAGGTCTGCGAGAACCCACACACAACACCCTTTCCCACTTCTGGAGCAGAAAAACAAACGAATGCGCAGAAATCCTCATAACACGGCATGGAATGGGTCACGTGCCAGTTCCTCGATGCGTCCTGGCTGGAAGCCGGTGGGCCAACCTTGCCAATATGTTAGTGGCCTGCCAAGATGATGTTTGTAGCCTTCTAGGAGGTTAGTACACTCTCCTCGAGCTCAGTCGTGTTGGACTACACCTCCCATAAGCCCCCAGCCAGGTGGTGGGCTAGTAGCATGCATTTCTCCACAAGTGGGTGTGTGGATCCTGAAGGAGCGCCATCTCTGTGCCATCTCTCTGTGAGGGCGCCTTGTTTCCTCTGCTAAGAGCATCACAAGAGCTCTGCTGGTTGAACCCGAGGCCGTCCAGTCCAGCCGCGTGTTCACACAGTGGCCAATCCGCTGGGCGGGAGATCCCACAAGCCCCCAGATCCCCCAGGAAGCAGAGTACACAGGCATGCTCTCACTGATCCTGAAAGTAGTCCATGAGGACTAGAAGCCTGGATAGCCTGCTTTTCCTCCACAAATGTCTCCAGTCCCAGCTTGAACAATGCGCTGCAGGATGGCGTGACTCTCCCGCCCATCGGCCTCATGGACTGACCCACCTGGGTCACGTCTCCGTCTCTGCTCTCTCCACACTGTACACTGTAGATGCGAGCGCATCTCTCCTTGCCTTTTTCTAAGCAAAGCGATTCCAGATGTTGTGACCTTTCCTCATGGGGTGGGGGGTGCTCGAGCCCCTGGATCATTTCACGCGCCCTTTTCTGCACTTTTTTCCAACCCCATAATACCCCCTTTTTAGGTGCTGGGATCAGAACTGCACGCAGAATTTAAGTGGGGTCGCATTCTGAATACGAGCAGGATGACATTGGCAATTTTATTTTCAGTTCTTTTCCTAATGGTGCCTCCAAGAGAGTGTCCTTTATCACAGCAACTGTGAACTGGGGTGACATTTTCACTGCACCCCACAAGCTGTTTCTTGGTCCATCACTGCTTGCTTGCAAATCCCTTTCTCGCCACACATCTGCAGATTTGATGGGTCTTCTTTAAATTTCATTTTTAGTGAATAATTGCTTAGCAGATTTCTCCTGTACTTGCTTTGGAGAGCTTTGTGCAGTCCTGGCCTTGTGAGTCCACCTCAAGAGGAGCTGCAGCTCTTGGCCAATTCAGGCCCACCCATCTTAATTTCAACCAAGTGGGAAAGAAATGCCCCCTCGGGGCCGGGAGTTGTGTTTGGATCCAGGAGTGGGGCCCCGGAGCCCGCTCGCATGCCCGACTGGCTCGGCCTGGCCCTTTCCCCACTGGCTGTTACCTCATTCGGCAGTGGATCTGTCCCTGGGGGCTCGGACGGGCAGCTTTGGGGTCAGATGTCAACAGGACTGAATGCGGGGCTGGACTGCAAGGGGAGGTCCCAGGGCTGGGGGGCCATGGGATGGTGGTCCTGCTGGTTTGGGGAGGGGGCAGCACACAGAAAGCAAAATTGAAGGCAGATGCAAAGAACGGTGTACCAGAGGCGATTCCAGGCTCGCTCTGTGTGTGTGTGTGTGTGTGTGTGTGTGTGTGTGTGTGTGTGTGTGTGTTGACTTTTCATAGGGTTGTAGAGAGAGAGAGAGAGACTGTGTGTTGGAGAGAGAGGGAGTATGCTAAATACCTTTAAATGTCAGAACAGTTAAACTAGGACTTATACCCAGTTAAATAAATCTTTGCTGTTTATCGGTTAATCAACTGATTAAATTTGCATATGGCAAAAAAGAAAAGCTGAGCGACTTTCTCCCTGGACTTCACAGGCATCGCCTGGGAACAGGCCTGGGCCGAATGTAGCCTTCCAGATCTTTTGGGATGCCAACTCCCATTGCCCCTGCCAGCATCTCAAATGGTCAGGGATGATGGGAGCTGGCATCCAGCTTCTGGGGGATAAGCAGGTCCCCACCCCCACAGCTTAGAGGCATTCTCTCTTAAATTTGGAAAAATGTTGGAAAGAAGGTGCTTCTTTCAAGAGGGTGTCTGACAAATGCCTTTTACGGAAATTTGGGGGGTTGGGTGTGGTACTATTAATCAGGGCTACTTTGGGGGTATTTAACATTGTAAATCTGGCCAGTTAAGGGATCAGGTGTGACAACTAAATTAAATGCGCAGAGAAAGGCTAGGAGGATGCAGCTAGGAAAGGGGGGCACTGTTGGGGGTGGGCTCTTTCCTCCCACTGCTGAACGGTTTGGGGACTTGCTGTGGGTCTTTCAAACCCTGCCACACCTGTTTAAGCAAGCGGAAAACGGCACAACAAGTGTGGCAGGGTTTGAGCAAAGGAAAACGGCGTCTCGGTGTGCACCACCCCATCTTGGCCAGACACGCTCCACACGCATTGGATTCCAATTCCCAGCATCCCCATGCAGCATAATGGATGCTGGGAGTTGGAGTCCAAGGCTCCTGGAGCACGCCGGGTCAGGGAAGGCTGAGGTGAACCATGGGGATCAAGCTTCCTTCACGCCACATACAACCTTAAAAACGATTGTTTGTCTAAGTCGAGCCTAAGTGGGAAATGCCCTGGAGATCCGGGGGGGGGGGGCAGAGCACTGGGGGTTGCTGGGAATGGGGCTGCTGCCGTTGGGTGCCAATTGCCATCTCGGATTAGCCGGACGTGTTGTGTTTTCTTCCGAAGTGCCATTTCCCCCCTTTCAAAGCGTGTGTGTGAAAAACAGAGGCAAATGTGTTTCTGGACATTCGCGGCTCACTGAAGACACCGAGTTCCCCTCATTATTTCTGTTCACAGTTTAATACCTGAACAGCCTTTCAGTGCTGGGCAGCAGCAGCCCCAGAATGCTTTGCAGCCAGGTCCCTGGGGGCAGGCGGTCCCGGCAGGTGCCACCTGCGCCCGCCTGGCTTCCAGGCGCTCCTTGCAGGCCCGTCCCTTCCCTTCCCTTCCCGGAAGAGGCTGCAGGCTCGGCTCTCGGGCGCCTGGACTCGGGCCCCCGTCTCCCTGGACGCGGGTGCCCGGGCACCTTCCACCCTCATGCTCACCCCAGTGGGGTCAGGGCACTGGCCCTGGCGCTCGGAGGACTCGGCTCGTCCCCTCAGCCCAGCTGTGGAGCCCGCCAGATGGCTCTGGGCCGGTTGCTGACCCTCAGGCAAGCCCACCTCACAGGGGTGTGGTGCAGAGAGGCGGGGAGGAGGAGGAGGAGGAGGAGGGGTATGCACGCCCCTTTGGGGTCCTTGCAAGGAAAACCGGCAGGATTCAAAGGCAAGGTAAACCCGACGTGGCTCTTGTGCCCCCCAGGTTCCAGAACGAGGGAGGCTACGTCCTGTACCCGCAGATCGGCGACCGCCTGGACCTCATCTGCCCGCGCTCGGTGCCGCAGGGCCCCTTCTCCACCCAGGACTACGAGTACTACAAGCTGTACCTGGTCCAGTCGGAGCGCTGCGAGATCCTGCACACGCCCAACTTGCTGCTGACCTGCGACCGGCCCGAGCACGACATGCGCTTCACCATCAAGTTCCAGGAGTACAGCCCCAACCTCTGGGGCCACGAGTTCAAGACCAATCAGGACTACTACATCATCAGTGAGTCTTGGCTTGGCCCCTCCGCGCCAGCGGCCCTGCCCCGGGGCGGGTGGCTTCCCCTTGCGTGGGTTGGCGGTGCCCGGAGGGGGCTGCCGGGAGCTGGCAGCTCTTGCCAGCGTTGTGTGGAGCCCGAAGGCAGGTCCGGACCGTCTGGCAGAAAACAGCCCCGTGCTTCTGTTGTGTTGATCGCTTTAACAGGCTCTTCCCGGTTGGGAAAAACGGAAAGACATTCCTTGGTATTGCACAGGGGAGACTGGAAGCCCCGTCAGGTTCTGTGTGTGGGGCAGGCAATCGCCTGGAAGCGTGATGTGTTAGTACCATGGAGGAAGCCCCTCCTGTGAAAAGCGTTGGTCTCCGTGCTCAGCACAGGACGGCTGAGACGCCACCACCGGGCCCGGGCCTGGGCCCCGTCCCCGTCCCCGGGCAGCAGCTTCCTCCCCTCCAGCGGAGCCCAGAGGAGCCGGTGCCGGGTTCAGCAGGGGAGCAGGGTGCAAGACAGGGCCACAGAGATGGTGGCCCCTCCGACGTCCTGCTCGCAAGCCCGGCCTGGTGGCTTTGCAGGTTCCCACCAGCGCTTTGAGCTGCACCCGCCGCCCCCGGAAGATTCCATCCTGCCCGTGTGCTCCATCCGGACCGAGGGGGATCGTTTCGGCACAGTCCAGCCGCGTTCGCACACCGCTGCGGGGCTTCGGACACTCGCCGCAACCTTGGCAGCTCTCCTTCCCCACCCCCCCCCGGCCCTAGCAGAGAGTCCCCGAGACTTCCCTGGGCAGGGGAAGGGGAGGGGGAGGGCCTGGCAAAGGCAGCGCCGTCTCCCGGCGAGGAGGAGGGCGTGCAGACGCCGCCGCGTTCCAACCTGTCTGGCGGGACCCACCCGCTGCCAGCAAGGAGCGGCTTCCCACCTGCAGAAGCAGGTGGAGCTCCCGTCCCGCCCCCACCAGGCACGCCGAGAGCAGCAGACCCCTCCCCGGTGGGAAGCGGCACAGCCTTGCTCCTTGCGTGCCTTGCTGAAATGATGGAGTCTTTCTGTTTACGGGTTTTCTTAAGCCGTGGCTTGTATTTCCTCAGTGTTTTCTAAAACTGTCTTAAGGCACAAGCCTGTGCTGGAGCAGGCAGCGAAAACGCCTTGCCGTCACAGCAAGTCCCGGCTGCTCAGGACGGCACCCTGAGGCGGCCTGAGAAGGGAGAGAGAGGAACTCGGTCGGTGCCTGGTGCTGCAGCAAGTAATTTTGGCAAAGCCTCGGCGGAAGCTTCTGGGATGAGGGAGGATCAGGCCGCTGCCCGGGGAGGTAGCGGGCTACCCTTTGCTGGAGGTGTTGAAGCAGAGGCTGGGCAGCCTTCTGTTGGGATGCCGAGGCTGCCCCACAAGCCTGCGTTGCTCAGGGGTCAGGCTAGATGATCTCCAAGATCCCTTCTTGCTCTGTTCGTCCTGATGAAGCCTTGTCTGCATACAGGATGGATGGCAAAGTGTAGGAGGAGATGGGCCCAGGCCGAGGAAATGAGGCAAAGAGGCAGAGCGACAGTAGGGGAAGGCCAGACCAAGGAGGACACCGTCGTTGCTTGGGGTCAAGGCGATCCCTGCTTGGGGTTTGGGCAGGGGAGGCCAGACAGTGGTGCTCCCAGCCGCACTGAAACACTGGGTTTGAAGGCCTTCCAGAACCGGGGGAAATGTGCTCACGGCCACCCAGGAACCGGCCTACCAGCTGTGCCCCAGCTGCATTTCCAGAGTTGCTCTTAGGGCAGCCCCACACGGAGCCCGAGGCGACCGTCTAGGGGTTGTCGTGCGTCGTCCCCAGAAGCCCATGTGCCTCAAGATGACAACAGTCAGGGAGAGGCAGGGAATGGCATTTGAGGGGCGTGCCCGGGGGGGCACTGGCTGTTCCGAGGTGGTCCCTCTTCAGCCCCTGCCCGCTTGTGCCGGAGGTGGGCGAGGATCGAGCCCTGCCAGGCGCCCCCTCCGCCTCTCTTCCCACCCTCCGCATCCCCGTGACATCAGCTCCGGCAGCCCGGGGTGGCCCTCCAGCCATTTCCATGGCAACCATCTCTCAGCAAACCCGCATGAGCCCGCGACTTGGCTGTACCACGGCGACCATGTTGTGGTGCTCTGCCAGCCCCCCCAGCCCCCGCCCCACGGCCGGCACCAGCCCTGCTCTCGTTCCAAGCCGAGGTGTCCACGCTGCCCCCCTCGCCGGAAGGAGGGGTGTTGCTCCCCCCTCCAGGGGTGATGCTCTTGTGATGCGGCTGGGTTTTGCTTTGGGGGGAGGATAAGTCTCCCCCCATGGCCTGCGCATGCAATTCTGTGTATGGGTGAGAGTTGGGGCTTATATAGGCTGGGATGCATGGATGCGCACACTGCACGGACTTGTGGGAAGCAGCTTTCGGGGCTCACATGGGAACTCCCTCCCTCAATATAGTTATATATCTCTATGCAGCATTTTCCTCTTTCTTTCTTTCTTCCTTCCCGTGTCAGTTCGCGCCGCTTTGTAGCGTGTGGCACATGCCCCGGGCAAGAAGACAGTGTTGAAAGCAAACCAGTCTTGTGCCCCCCCCCGCTGCCCCCCAGCCGCACTCCCCGACCGCTGGCTTCTCCAGTGAGACAGGCAAGGGGACACGCTTTTGCAGCACTTAATTAATTAATTGCCGGGTGGGGCGCCAGAGGATGGCTGCCCAAGGTCGCCGCTTTGCTCCTGGGCTAAGCGGCGGCCGGCGTGTCTTCCACCCGCACCCCCAGCGCCCCCCCCCGCCAGAGGCAGGGGTGGGAGCCCCCCTGCAGCCGCATCCAAGCAGGCGCGAGGGTTTTCCCGGTGGCGGCATCAGTGACCCAGTTTCTCCCCCACCCACCTTGGGATGATTTTATGCCCAGCCAAGCATGAGGGGAGAGCAGAGGACCGCTGGGCGGAATGAGGAGGAAAGGGAGGGAGGCCGGGAACGGGGGCGGCGAACTGGGGGGAGAGCACGGGGGACGGTGCCATCCGGGACAGGAAGTGACGGCCAGGGACGTGGCAGGCCGGGATGCAAGAAGCAGTTGTACTCGGCACTGTCCCCGAATACCCCGGAGCGTACCTTGCTCCTGGAACCTGGCTTGGAACCAGCGTGGCTGAAGGCGGGGTGCAAATACCTGCATTCGTGCAGTGTTTCTGGGGCCTGGCAAAGGGCATCTCTTGAGTATGTGCAGGGTGCATGCCCGGCGCGGGAGCGTTGGCACCATCGCCTCGTCCCCGGGGTGTGGGAGTGTGGCTCCGGAGAGACCAAGCTGGGCACAGCTCCGGCGTTGCAAAATCGACCTTCATTCCCTCGAACCTTGCTTCTGTGCAGGTGCAGGAAGTCTGCGGGTTCTGAGGACAAGGAAGGCCTCCGGAGGGTTTGGTGAAGAGCATTCGGCGTGCCGAGATCCCTGAAAACTGGAAAGGGAAAGGCAGTGTGCGCTTAACCGTCAGCTGCCCGCCCGATTTGCTGAGGGCCTTTCCGGATGGCAGTGGGGCAGTGCAGGGTCCCCCTCGCGGGGCAGCAGGCACGGGCACCCCCCCCCCCCCCCACTCTGGGCCAGCCCCACTGCAGCCGCACTGGCCAAGCTGCTCTTTGTGAGGGCTCAGCCGAGCGCGTCTAAACCAAACCGACGGGCCCGGATTCTCAGCGCCCCCGGCAGCTGCTAGCGAGAGGCTCCGGTGCTGCATGCACGCGACCCCCCCTCCACCATCGGACCCACTTTCCCCACAGAGCTGGAATGAGAAGGCAGGGGTCCTGGATCGAGGTTTCTGAAGAACCTCTAGAACTCATTCGCTTTGCCTTTTGAGAAATGAGTCCAGAAAAGCTCCCCCTGCTTCTGCCTTGCCCCCCTCAAAAGGGAGCAGGGTCCCTGCATCACCCACTTGTAAAGGTAGGGTAGAACCCAGGGGGTCCTTAAAGCCGAGGTGGGGTGCATTCCTGGCCTTGGTACAGGCCTGTCTCCTCATTCTGGGCCGTGGTCCCTGGCAGGAAGCGTTTTCAAGAGAAAGTGCGCTATTTTGACCCCCCCCAGGCCTCCGTTCCCACCCAGCCCTGGAATGCAGCCCCCAAAACTGCTCAAAATGGAAAGAGGTTCTGCACCCCAATTTTAAAGGGTCTTAAGCAGCAGAGAAGCCATGCAAAGTCATCTCGCATACGGGATCGTTGCTGTAACGAACTCTATATTTAGAATGTGAAGCATGGCAGGAAGGTAATATTTTCTGGCCACATCCCTACATCCTCGTTCAGCTACTCGGGGCCCTGTCTCCAGCCCCAGGCCCCCTCTAAGTTTCCCTTCCCCTGCTCTGAACTGGGTCCTCCCACACCCAAAGGGCTTTTTATTTTCCCACAATGCTGATGGTTCCATTCAGGGCATTCTGGGAAAGGGACATTATGGCTTCTGGGAGGGAGACCTCCGGAGGGGTGCATTGGGTAGACTTGGGGGCCTGGGAGTCACGCGGGTTGTGAGATCACGCCGATGTCTTCACGGCGAATTCTGCTGAGCACCACGTGATGGCAGCTTGCAGCTGGGCGTATCTGGGTCAGCCAGGAGTCGCTGAGGAAGCGCTCTGCGAAGCCCGGTCCCGCGTTCCTCCTCACTTGGCTTCAGGTGCACCATCCTGGCAGCTCCCACCTCTTCCGGGGAGCCACGTCGGGGACTCCAGCTGCGTTGTGGCGCCAGCACTTGTGCCTTTGGGAAGGTGGCTGGCCTGCCCGGACGCCGGGGTTCTCTCTGCTCTCGGGCAGGTGCCTGAGAAACCCTGGCTCATCTCGGCAGCGGCTGGCTTATTAACAGATCATCGGGGGAACTTTCTCTGTGCAAACATTAAGCATCTTGTTTAAATATTAAATGCCCTGTGGAGGATGCTGCGGCGAGGGGGTGGGCCTGGGGGAGGTGTGGGGCTGCTCAAGGGCACCAGAGTTGCTGGGCAGGAGTCAACTCGGGGGCCGGGACTGCGGCGCCCCCTCCCCCAGGACCTAATCCACACGGTCCTCCCGGGATCAAAGTCCGCTTCTGCCTATCTGGGGCGATTAGGGAACACAAGCTGGTCTCCAGGGCCTGGGGGTGCCCACCCCACACAAGAGAGAAGGACCCCCCCCCTTGCAGCCCCGGCCCCTCTGCCTCCAACAGGGCATGCTGAGCTCTCCATTAGAAGCCACCTACTCACCTGCCCTCAGGTACTTAAAAAGGCCTTTGCCTCTTCTATATTCTCAGGGTGGCTTGCAGAAGAGAACTGGCGCAAGCGGCACCGTGAGCTAGCAGCAACATGGACGCATACAGACAAAAAATGTGGCAGAAACTGGCCCCAAAGAAAACGGAGGCACTCTTAGCTGTCAAGAAGTTGGGGGTTTTCGTTTTTAAGGCCTTTCGCTGGTGACTTTGGCCAATTAGTAAAGTGAGACCTTTGGCAGGGTTCCGGGCGTCGTAAGCGGGATGCTGCCATCCACGGCTGGCAGCCTGCCCCCGTTGCCACCCCTGCGCCTCGCTTCTCCCGGCAGGAGCCCACGAAGAAGCCCCCGGGTGCTTTCAGGGACGGACGGACAGACGGACGGGCTGTCTGTTGGTCGGTCCAGCCATCCATCTGTCCGTCCTTCGGGGACTGCTCCCGAGCCGTGCAGGCTGCGCTCCGGAATGGGCCGGCCGCCCGCGCGGTGCCAAGGGGCAGCGAGGCTTGCGGCAGCCTCCCAAACAGCCGTCGGGGCAGCCCCGGCCCACGGCCCGGCCACTGGGGCGCTAACTCTGCTCTCTCCCCCTGCCCAGCAACGTCGGACGGCACCAAGGAAGGGCTGGAGAACATGAAGGGCGGCGCCTGCGTGTCCAAAGGCATGAAGGTCATCTTGAAAGTTGGGCAGCGTAAGTGGGGGAGGGAAGGGGGGCGGGCTGCAGAACCAAGGGGGGCTCTGGGCTCCTGACTTCTCTCTGGGGGAAGCGCGGGGTCCCTGGGACTGGGCGAGGAGCAGGGCATGCTGGGAGCCAGGCCTTCCCGGGGAAAGAGCAGGGTTGGGGGGTGAGCACAGGGCATGCTGGGAAGGAGATTCTCGTTTCCTTCGGGAGAAGAAATAGCGGCGGGGGCTCGCCAGTGTACGTGTATCCCATGTGCCACCATCACAAGCGGCAGCGTGGACTCCTGGGTACCTGAACCCTTGGCTTTTTCACTCTGCGGCCCCCCAGCAGGACCCTCTCGCAGGGGGGAGCCAGGCCTCCCCTGCCCCAGCTCCTCAGCAGGGCGTGTGTGCAGCCCCCGGTGAAGGGTGCCCACGTGGCCAGCAAGGCCGGGGCCGGCCGGGGCGTGCACGTATCTCCGTCCCCGGCCCCATGCAGGGCTCCCCTCTCCCGCAACCTCCACGCCGGCCCCCCGGTTCTCCACCATTCTGTCTTTGCCCTTCGCCCCCCAGATCCCGGCACAGGGTCCAAATCCCAGAAGTCCTTCCCAGACACGCCCGGCGAGAAGGAGCGGGGGACTTCGGGGGCCGCTGAGCCCAACAAGGAGATGAACCCAGGTACGCCCCTTCCTGCAGCCCCCTCGCTCCCCCGGCACCCTGCTGTGGCCCCAAAAGACCAGCAGGGATCCCCCTGGATGAAGCCGCAGCTTGAGGCAGCTCGGACCGCCCCCCCTCCCAGCAATCCAGAGCTGCCTGGAATAGAGGATTCCCCATGGCCGTACTTCTGTTTCCCCCATAAGAGGCCCTGAAGCGCGTGCTCTGTGGGCTGCGGGAGCTTTCCTCTGCTGCCTGCTCCCTTCTCCCCACTGCTGGGTGGGGGTCTTTGCCAGAGCCGCCATCAGCAGGAGTGTGGAAAGGAGGGCAGCTTTGGCCTCGCTGATCGGACCCCCGGGAGTCCCGGCTCCCAAGGGGTGCCTCCTGGCACCTTCCCCAAGGAATGCGGGTGCCGGGTCCCAGTGCCACCTCCCCTGACTTAGCTTCCTCCCAGAGAGCTCAGGCACCCCCCCCCCCCCACCCCTGAGGCCGGCATGTGCACAGGCGCTCGGGACCTCTCCCCCACCCACCCACCCCTCGTGTCTGGGTCCAGCCCCAGACAGGGGAAGCGGGAAGCGGCTTGGGGCCTGGCTGGCTGCGGAGGGCTGGCTGCCCCATCCCTTCCCGGGAGAGGGAGCCCGGCGTGGGGGCCCGGTTGATCTTTATTGATAGTGATGGTTGAAATGAACCCTGCCGAGCTGGGCAGGGGAGGTATCGGGGAGGCAATTAGCTCCATTAACCAGAGTCGACAGACACTAACGAGCACCTTCCCATGCCAGGCAGGGGCCGCTTGGTCCCCCAAGCGTCTGCAGCGGCGGGGCTTCGGGTGGATGGACGTCGCATCCACCTGGGCCAGCCGGCTGGCCTGCCTGCCTCCCGCGGCTGGCAGATCGCTTTCCCAGCCCCATGGCCTTGGGATCTCTTGACTGGGGGTCGTTCCGCCCACAGCTTCTCTGGAGGCTGCTTTGCTCACCTGCCCGAGCCCCCGCGGCACGTCCACGTTGGTGGCACGGGCCTGGAGAACGGCAGGCTCCTGGCCCCGATTCTAGCAGGATGGGGCCCGGCAAAGAGAACCTACAAGCAGCCCTTCCCAGAACGTCCAGAGCTGCCTGGGAGAGGAGAGGCGACTCTCTTGGGGTCAGGGAGATGGCAGAGAGCTGCGTTCCCATGGGGGAGGGCCAGTTCATCCGGAAAGATCAAATGCTTTTCCTGACCTGGACCTGTTACACTGCAGAAGGGGGGCTGGCGGGCCAGAGGCTCCCCTCGTATGCTGAAAATGAGTCAGGAAAAGGGGCTCTGTCGAGCAAGGTGGCTCGGGCAATTGCTCAGGGAAGGCCTTCTCGGGCAGGACCCCGGCTGGCGGTCTCTCCGGCACCGGGAGGTGACCCTGGGCTTCCCCGGGCTTTTTGGTCCGTCAGTTTTCCTAAAAAGCATCACTGTGCTTCTCGATCTTTCAGTTCTCGCTCGCTTCATCTTGATGTTTGCTTTGGTTTTACGTATTCCGTTTTAAATCTAAGGGGCCTTTTTATATAATGCTTTACAATGTTCTTGTGGTTAGTTCATGGTGCCGAGTCTTCTCTTGTGAGTCACCCGGAGAGGAGCTGGGACGCGGTAAACACGCCATGAAAAGGAGAGGCCGGCCTGCCGTGCTACCTTTCTGCAGGCGGGGAGGCCCTCCCGGGAGGCCCAGGAAACGCGCGTTCCCATGGCGGTGGTGCCAGGACAGCCTCACCCCAAGCCGGGGCACTCCTCCCTCGCTGGCCGCTTGCCGTCTTTTGCGGGGCGTGATGGGAGAACAAGCCTTGAGCCCCTCTGCTAAACACCCATTTCTCCCTCCCACCCCAGGGCCCCCGACGGGCAACACGACCGGGAAGGTGGGGGGCGAGAACGGCCCCCTGCCGCAGTCCAACGTGCCCATCATCGCGGGGGCCGCCGGGGGAGCGGCCTTCGTCCTGCTGGTCGCGGCCGCCGTGACGGGGGCCCTCTGCTACCGCCACCGCCGAGCCAAGCACAGTGAGTCGCATCACCCGCCCCTGTCGCTCAGCACCCTGACCAGCCCCAAGCGGGGCGGCGGGGGCGGCGGGGGCAACAACAACGGCTCCGAGCCCAGCGACATCATCATCCCGCTCAGGACTTCCGACAGCGCCTTCTGCCCCCACTACGAGAAGGTGAGCGGGGACTACGGGCACCCCGTCTACATCGTGCAGGAAATGCCCCCCCAGAGCCCGGCGAACATTTACTACAAAGTATGAGGGGCCCCCGCTGCACCTTCGACCTCCGTGGAGGCGGGCAGGACTCGGCACGGAGGGACGGACCCTCGCCCGCCCCGGGGGTGCCGCCTGTGTCTGGGGCCGCTGGCACTGGGACCCTCTTCCGCCAGGAGGGAGGCGAGACTCTCTCCCTTGCGTGGATTCTGGCCGGGCTTGGATGAGCGACTCCGGGAGACGCCCTTCTCCCGTCCGGCGTGAGTGGACGAGCGGGCTCCGCGGAGGCACCCCCGCCACCTCCGACTCTCTGCTGAAAAAGGGCTGCGTCCCCCCCACCCCCATGCGGTGATTTCTCCGTGGAGACCACGGCGCGATGGGGGCAGCGGCCCTCGCCCGCGTGAGGCCAGGAAGGCGTCCCGCGGAGGCCGGCTCTGCTCCAGAGATGCCCGCTTTGAGCACATGCGCACACAGCCAAAAGGAATTTGCCTTTTAAAAACTCTCGAGTATCTTTCCACATGCACATTTCTTTGCAATAATTCAAGCTTATTTTCTTGCAGCGGGGAGGTTGCACTCTATCCAAAGTCCATGTTCTCGACGGGGGGGCGTGTGGTCAGAGAATAACGTTAACTTCAACCGTTTACCGTCTTGGGATTGTGTTTTTTCCGTACAAAATGTCTAAAGAGTAATTCAAAATATGCTTTGTAGTGAAAAAACCAGAACCCCAAAATTGTAAACCGTGGAATCAAGTGTTGGTGCCTAATGTTTTGGTTAAAAATCTATCAGGATTTAAGATTTGCCTTTTAACCTCCCCACCTCCCACAACACACCTCTCTCAAAGCCGACATTTCAGACAAAGAATTTTGCAGAGGGTGAAGAAGGGTTTGCACCATTTCAGTGTTCCACCAAATTCCCGCTGGGCCCTGTAGTATATCGCAGCTCCTCGCTCTTCGGGCTTCTTCGGACTCTGGAAGGCGAGCACCTTGGGGCAAGGCGACGGCTGGCAGAGACCGCCCCTGCCCACCGCCTCGCACCCTCTCGGCTACCCTGGGCACCCGCCAGCCGCTGCTCCTTCCTGGCCACCCCAGCGCTTTCCTGGACTAGTTGCCCGCTTCGGATCGGGGCTGCTTGCGGCAGGGGGAGACCCCCCCGGGTCTGGATCGGAAGACTCTGCAGCAGCCTGGACTGTGACTGCAGGAGAGTCGGCCGGGGGTCTTGCAGGGGTGGCCATTTTGAGAAGCCTTTTGTCGTCTAAGTTGCTAACGAGAAGAAAGAGCAAAATGGCCCCCGTTGCCCGTCAGGCCGGCTGAGAAGACACAGGGGGTGGGGGGGCACTTCTCCGGGGTTTCTGGTGCCTCACTTTGGGGAGAGATCGTGACTGTGGATCCCAAATGGCCACATCCGGTGGATGTCAAGAAGCTGCGTGTCGTGTGTGACATTTTGTGGAACGCCCAAAGAGGCAGGACTTTGTGTGTTAGACGGGGGGACGTGGTCAGGTGTTTCTGTTTGGGCAGGAAGACAGAAAGAAACGGGGGGAAATGTGGTCTTTTTCAGCTTTAACAGAGGTTTTTGGGTTTTGTGTTTTGATCGGAGAGTTTCTTAGCTTTGTCGGTGGAATTTTACTGTTGATTATAGAAGTTCTTGCGCAGGTTTGGTTTGGACTCTTCCTTGCCTCACTCCTCCTCCCCTGCCCCTTTTGAACCCAGGGCCACCAAGCCGGTTTCTCCCTCATGACTGTTGGGATGGCAGGCAACCGGGTTCGTGTCCCCACCTTCAGGAGGTTTTTCCCAGCGAAGGGTCAAATGAGCCAAGCAGAGAGGAAAACCCAGGGCCTGAATTTCTGTTGGAGTACTGCAGAAGCCGGACTCCTTCCTCCTGCAGCTGCAGGTGGTGCTTTGGCTGCAAGAGGGCAAGAGAAAGGCGCTCTGCACATGCTCAGGAACAGAGGGTGGGTCATGCACACAGATTGGAAGGTGAAGTTACTGGAGTCGGTCTGGTGAGGCTTAAAGAAACCATTTCAGGCACACTTCCGATGAAACAGTCGGGAGCAACAGCACCCGGTTCACCCCCGGTGGAAGCCTGCATTTCCGGGGGGGGGCGAGTCTGGCCGGCCCCTCCCTCCGTGCTCCAGAGCAGCCCAGCCCCCCACCTCCTCGCCAGTGGCTGGATCAGCAAGCCGGGCCTTTCACGTGATGAGTTCTGACAGCGTGCGGCCCGCGCCCCCCAGGGCTGCGTCTGTCCCGTGGAGCAGGGATCTAATTGAGGGCGGCCCCCACGCACGCGGCACGGAGCCCCCGCGGGGGGGGCGCCCCGCGAGCAGCCGCTTCTCCAGCGATCCCGCGACACTCCGCTCAGCCCGGCTCGGCTCAGCTCTCCACGGGCACCCGTGACAGGTCCCCCCCCCGCGTGTATCTGGGCCTGTCGCCTGCCATCTCCTTCCAGATACCTTGTCAGCATTCGCCGCAGACAAGGACTCGCGAGGTTATTTTGGGAAGGCGGCAGCAGAACACGCATCAGCAGGGCGGGGGGGCCGCGCCATGTGCCCCGACGGAGACGGGCCCGCGGCTGCCGGAGGCGGGGGCCGCGCCTGCCTGGGCAGGGCCGGGCCGGGCCGGCTGCGCTGCGCTCCCGGGCGCACGGCAGCCCGCGCACGCCCCCGAGCGCCGCTTGGGGGCGGCGGGGGCGGCGAGGGAGCCTGCGCTCCCCGGACCGCGCTGGGCAGGGCTCGCCAGCCCGTCTTTCGTCCCAGAAAGTCTCCCCGTCGCCTTGCCAAACCCGGCTTGCAGCGGCGCACCGGCGGGAGAGCGCCACGGGCGCCGAGGGGCTGCGCGGCCGTTTGCGCGCTGCGCTCCCGGTTTCCGTGGGGCGGGTCGCTTTGCACTTGTGGGCCGGGGACGCATTCCTCGGGCGCTCAGCAAGCGCGAAATGCGGTTTTAGCATTCAAGGTTGCTCGGCTGGAGGGGAGGTGATGCGGGGGGGGGCGTGTTCCGGGGCACAAAGGCGCTTGGGGGGCCCAACTCCGGC